TTTCTTATAGTGTCTTTTTCAAGCTTTGATACCATGGTAATGCTGGACTCATAGAATGAGTTAGGAAGTGTTTCTGCCTCTGACTTTTTATTTTTAATTTGAGAAGCATTGTTATTAGTTCTTCTCTAAATATTTAATAGAATCCACCAGAGAAGTCATTAGGTCCAGGGCTATTCTTCATCAGGAGATTTTTTATTACAGATTAAATCTCCTTGCTAAATTCTAGGTCTATTGAGATGTTTGCTTCTTTATGATTTAGTCTTGGTAGGTTTTGTGTTTCTAATAATTTGTCCATTTCATTTGGTTATCCAATTTGCTGACATACTATTTTTCATAGTACTCTTATAATTCTTTTTAGTTATGTAAAATCATTGTTAATGCCCCTACTTTCATTTTTATTTTAGTAATTTGAGCCTTCTCTCTTTTTTCTTAGTCCATTTAGCTAAAGGTTTGTCAACTTTGATTTTTTTTTAAACCAGCTTTTGGTTTCATTTATTTTTTTGTTATTTTTCTAGTCTCTATTTTATTTATCTCTACTCAATCATTAATGTTTCCTTCTTTCTGCCAGCTTTGGGTTTAGTTTTTTTTTTCTTAGTTCCATAAATTATAAAATTATGTTGCTTTAGGGCAGGGGTCCTCAAACTTTTTAAACAGGGAGCCAGTTCACTGTCCCTCAGACCGTTGGAGGGTCGGACTATAGTTTAAAAAAAATTATGAACAAATTCCTATGCACACTGCACATATCTTATTTTGAAGTAAAAAAACAAAACGGGAACAAATACAATATTTGTATTTGCATGTGGCCCGCGGGCTGTAGTTTGAGGACCCCTGCTTTAGGGTCTTTCTTGTTTATTAATATAAGTATTTATATACAGGGTGGGGCAAAAGTAGGTTTATAGTTGTGAGTTCATGAAAAAGAGTTTATTCCTATATTATTATTTATTAATTTTTGAATTATTTTCCATATGAACTATAAACCTTTTTTTGCTCCATCCTGTATAGCTATAAATTTCCCCCTTAGCACTGCATTCATTGTACCCCATAAGTTTGGATATGTTGTGTTTTCATTTTCATTTATCTCTAAGTATTTTCTAATTTCCCTTCTGATTTCTTCTTTGATTCATGGGTAGTTTAAAACTATGGTATTTATTTTTCACATATTTGTCAATTTCCCCATTTTCTTTCTGTTATTGTTTTCTAACTTCATCCTGTTGTGGTATATCTATCTTGTGAAATCAATTGAGAGTAATTTGTGGCCTAACATATGGTCTATATCCTAGATATATAAGGTATCCCCCAAAATGTATATACACACTTTGAATAATTATAAAGGCAGTATTTATTAAAATACATTTTATTTTTTAAATTGAGCTGTCAGATGTAAAAGTGTGTGTACAATTTTTTGGTATACCCTCCCTGTATATTACCAATGGGGAGGAACTTCTATCATTTTGCTATTTGTTTTCTATATGTCTTAATAGCTTTTTTGTTCCTTATTTTCTACATTACTGTCTTTTGGGTTTAGTTGATTGTTTTATATCAAAATGCTTAAATTCCTTTATCATTTATTTTTGCATTTATTGTATGGCTGTTTTCTTTTAATCTGTAATCAAAGTGGTTTCCATGGAGCCCTACCCGGTTTGGCTCGGTGGATAGAGCATCGGCCTGCGGACTGAAGGGTCCCAGGTTCGATTCCTGGTCAGGGCACGTGCCCGGGTTGCGGGCTCAATCCCCAGTGTGGGGCGTGCAGGAGGCAGCCAATCAATGATTCTCTCTCATCATTGATGTTTCTATCTCTCTCTCCCTCTTCCTTCCTCTCTGAAATCAATAAAAATATATTTTTTTTTAAAAAGTGGTTTCCATGGAGATTACACTTAACATCTAAAGTTATGCTCTAATTTGAATTTATAACATCTTAATTACAATAACATCCGGAAACTCCACTTTTTTACAGCTCCATCCCTACTCTTTTCAGTTGTTGATGTCACAAAATTACATCTTTATAGAATATGTGCCCCCAAACAAACCAGTAATTATTTTAAATGCATTATTCTCTTAAATTATATAGAAAATAAAATGGTGAGTTACAAATAAGTTACCATAATAATAGACTTAGACTAATAATTGTGTTTTTAAAAAATGTATTAGTCATTTAAATCATGTAGAAAACAAAAAGTGGAATTATAAATCATTGTTACAATAATACTAGATTTTATAATTGCCCACCTATTTACGTTTATTGAGATATTTATTTCTTCATGTGGCTTCAAGTTACTGTCTAGTGTCTTTTTATTTCATCCTGCAGGACTCCCTTGAGCATTTTTTCACATCAGGTCTAGAGGTAATGAACATCCTCAGCTTTTGTTTATCTAGGAATGCCTTAATTTCTCCTTCACTTTTGAAGGACAGTTATGTTAAATATAGGATACGATTCTTGGTTGACAGTTTATTTATTTTAGTACTCTGAATATGTCAGCCCACTGCTTTCTGACCTGCAAAGTTTCTGATGAGAAATCTGCATATTTTCTTTTTTTTAAAATTTCTTTATTGGTTAAGGTATTACAAATGTGTTCTCATCCCCCCCATTAATCCCCAACCGCCCCCCCCCACTCATGCTCTCTGCATATTTTCTTATTAAGGCTCCATTGTATGTAATGAGTCTTCTCTCTGCTGCTTTCAAGATTCTGTCTTTGACTTTTCAGAGTTTGATTATTACATATCTTGGTGTGAGTCTCTAAGTTCATCTTACTTGGAGTCTGTTGAACTAATTAAATGTTTGTATTCATGTCTTTCTTCAAATCTGGGAACTTTTCAGCCATTATATCTTCAAATATTAGCTAGTAATATTATATCTAATGAGAAATCTTTCTGCATATGCATTTCCATTCCCCATGTTAATTCGCTTAGCAACAGTGCCAGGTAGGAAGATCACACAAAATGCTGAGAAATGCTACTGCTCTTGATTTTAATACTTTCCAAAGCACAGGAAAGTCTAGTATATTTAACATGGGAAAGATAGAATGAATTTAAAAAATAAAATATTGCCCTGGCTGGTTTGGCTCAGTGGAGAGAGCGTCGACCTACGGACCCAAGGGTCCTAGGTTCGATTCTGGTCAAGGGCACATGCCTGGTTTGTGGGCTCGGTCCAACGTGTAGAAGGCAGCCAATCAATGATTCCCTCTCATCATTGATGTTTCTATCTCTCTCTTCCTCTCTGAAATAAAAATATTTTTTAAAATAAAAATAAATAAAAAGTAAAATATACCAATTAGGAGTAGAGGAAACTACCTTTTTCTCATCACTCTTAAAGTAACATATTATGCTTTTCAAAATGATGTAACACTATTCCATAATTTAAACATTAATTCTACTTTTACTGCTTTTTTATAAAAGAGAAAACATAATGGATGTATTACATGAAGCACTTCCTATTTTAGGCTGAGTGGAAAGAACAGCTTGTTGGCAGAGTGGAAGAATAAATTTTAAACTAATGGAAATAAGTCAAATTATTTTTATATTAAAGTTTGGAATATACTCTGTCAGCAAAAAGTGAAGCTGTTGGTATATATGAAATGGAAATACACACACACACACACACACACACACACTTCTTTATCCATTCATCTGTCAATGGACACTTAAGTTTTTTCCATATCTTGGCTATTGTAAATAATACTGTACTGAACGTAAGGAATGCCTATATATTTTCAAATTAGTGTTTTTATAATATTCAGATAAGTACCCAGAAGAGGAATTGCTAATCCATCTCTTTACTTTCATTCTATTTGTATCTTTGAATCTAAAGTGTATTTCCTGTAGACAGCATATAGTTGGATTTTTAAATCCCTGCCTTTTGATTGAGTTGTTTAATATGGATTATTAAACAACATTTTATCTTGTTTTGATATAATGTTCTAAAATTTAAATCTCCATCAAACTAGCTTGCTAATGTTATTTTAATAATGCTAATATGTAAAGGTCATTCTGCATTTAGATATCAAATCATCAGTTTCCAACCCACATGGTACTGCACACCATGTTACTGCACACCAATATTCTTTGACAGAGCTGAGGAAGGCAAAAAAGGGGTGTAGAAAAGAGGATTTGAGCTACAGGGTCTCTCAATGAGAAGGGTGGTAGGATGTAAGGAGAGCAACAATAATAGAAACATCTCCTATTCTTCGATTGACAATGAGAAACACTATTTGATGGATATTTGGGTTAATTTCAAGAGAATCCACTTCTAGACTTAAGTTGAAACAAAAACTGCTTTTGCCAACCCACTCAATTTCCTTTTGTTTTTAATCCTTACCCAAGGATATTTTTCTGTTGATTTTAAGAGAGTGGAAGAGAGAGGGAAAGACAGAGAGAAATATCGATATGAGAGAAACACATTATCTGTTGCCTCCTGCACGAGCCCTGACCAGGGCCTCAGGCCAGGGAGGAGCCTGCAACCAAGGTGTGTGCCCTTGACTGGAATCGACCCCAGGACCATTCAGTCCGCAGGCCGATACTCTATCCATTGAGCCAAACCAGCTAGGGCTCAATTTCCATTTTAATTTGAAAATCTCAACTGAAATTATTTCAGTAAACAGTTTTATAACTCCTACTTTTACCTCTCTTCACTTGGTACTCAGTAGTATCATTTCTGTTTTAATATGCCAAAACTTTATGAAGATGTACTTCATATTTTGGCTCTAACCTAATTAAATCTATACCAACATAGATACAGAAGTAATTTAGGACAGTGATTTCAGCATAGAATTGATTCCCTCTCCTTCCATAGATTAGAGGAGAATAGTTTTGAATTGAGCAAAAATGGATGTTCTCTCCTTTCTGTTTTCTTCTTTTAAAAGACTCTTGTACAAGATTCTGGTGAAATAATAGTAATTAAGGTAGAAGTAGATATTAAGTGGCTATATGTCCAAGATATCAGCCTGAACTCTGGAAAAACCGTTAGTAACACAAACAATTATGCTTTTCACCTTTCTAATGGCCAGGATACTCAATCCCAAAGCTTGATGTGAGCTTTCCATTGGAGCAAAGAGAAGAAGCATGGGTGAAGGAGCTACAAGATTCCAAAGAAATTAAACAATTACTTGAATCCAAGATAGGTAAGTAATTGTTCATTGATACTAGAGAAGAAAGAAAAGAAAAATTCATCCTTAATCAGGGTAAAGAGTTTTGGCTTCCATTTAGTAATTTCTATATCCCTACTGATGGTTTACTATAACTCTTCATTTTCCTTCATGTTCTTTTCTCTGTGGGACACAGTGACATCTAGAGTTTCTGTCTTCTCCTAGGTTTTGAGATCGGGATAGAAAATGAAGAAGATACTTCAAAGCAGAAAAAACTGGAAAATATGTACCCATTTCTTGTTACTTTAGAGGAGAATGCTAACCATGGTCCCGTTTTGCAAAAAGACTATGTACAGTTAGAAAATCAATGGGAAAAACCCCCAGAGGATTTACAGACAGATTTGACAAAACTTGTAGATCATCAGAATCCCTCTATAGGAGAGAAACCTGAGAGCTCTAGCTTGGAAGAACCTCTCAACCCTAGAACCCATAAGAAAAAGAGTCCAGGAGACAAACCTCACAGATGTTCTCAGTGTGGAAAATGTTTTGCCCGGAAATCACAACTTACAGGGCACCAGAGAATTCATTCAGGAGAAGAACCTCATAAATGCCCTGAATGTGGAAAAAGATTCCTTCGTAGTTCAGACCTTTATAGACACCAACGACTTCATACAGGGGAGAGACCCTATGAATGTACTGTGTGTAAAAAGCGATTCACTCGGCGCTCACACCTTATAGGGCACCAGAGAACCCATTCTGAAGAAGAGACTTATAAATGCCTTGAGTGTGGGAAAAGCTTTTGTCATGGATCAAGTCTTAAAAGACATCTGAAAACTCATTCGGGTGAAAAACCTCATAGATGTCACAATTGTGGGAAAAGTTTTAGTAGACTGACAGCTCTTACTTTGCACCAGAGAACTCACACAGAAGAGAGACCTTTTAAATGTAATTATTGTGGGAAAAGCTTTAGACAGAGACCAAGCCTTGTTATTCATTTAAGAATTCATACAGGGGAGAAGCCATACAAATGTAGTCATTGTTCTAAAAGTTTCAGACAGAGAGCAGGCCTTATTATGCACCAAGTCACTCACTTTAGAGGACTTCTTTAAGAATTATTAAAGGAAACAGGTCATGCAGAAATTGGCACAAACTCAAAAAAATCTTAACTTGAAGCAGTCTGTTTGTCTTGGAAGAATCTTTTTTGTTTGAGCTTATAGGAACAGATTTTCTTTTTTCTTTTTTCTTTTTTTTTACTATTAAAAACCTATCTTCCAAGGCATGTGAATTCTAGAGTATCTACCTATTCTTGCAACTCTTACGACTTTACTAGATTTGATGTATTCTATCTTTACAACTCTTACTTTTTAATGAAAATGAAAATGTTTGTGTCCCAAGCCAACCGTATCATAGATGAAAGCATAAAACATATAGGGTAGGGTCAATATAATGGATAACCATGTCTATCTGGTATATTATAGCAGCACCATAATTATTCTGCTGTCATTATTAAAGGTGGTTATATTAGTTTAAAGCTTTATTTGTGTTCCAAGTGGCAAGAAAGGAGACAGTGTATTTTGTTCAAAGAATAAAAATGTGTCAGGAACATATGGATAAAGAGGATTTCATTTGCCTCATAAGAACTGGGTTATTTCCATTGAAAATATTTATGTTTAAGAAATTAAGATTTTAATCTCTTTGAATTTTGCAAAATTTGCTAATCTGCTTATTTGGCTGTTTGTTAGAGCTGTTAATTTAATGGTTTATTTTGTTCCCTGAATGAATAAACTCTAGGGGGAAGAATCCATTTGACAGTTGAAGTCATATAATTAGAACCTGATTCAAATTAGATTGACTAATTTGAGGAGCCAGTGTCCATTGCTTTTTAATATATATATATATATGATTTCAGAGAGGAAGGGAGAGAGAGAGAGATAGAAAGACTTATTGATCGGCTGCCTCCTGCATGACCCACACTGGGGATTGAGCCTGCAATCCAGGCATGTGCCCTGACCAGGAATCAAACCATGACCTCCTGATTCATAGGTCTACACTCAACCACTGAGCTATGCTGGCCAGGCAGTGTCCATTGCTTTTTACTATCCTTTGGTATTCAAATATTACTGATTCTTTAATTCAGTGTCTCCCTAAGTGTGTGTCATAGAACACTTAGTTCTGTAAGATATTTTGCAAATAAGGTTGGGAATCCCTGCTGTTTCCCCTTTCTAGATTCACAGTGCACATCAGCATATGAGAATCTCTGATAGGTCCTTCAGTAAAGGCAGAAAAAGCAACCTGTTGGCTCAATGTTTTGACCCTAGAACCCTTTTTCATGTACACCCAAGTAATAACCCACAGAACTAGTATTCTGCAAATATCTCTTGGAACACATGCCTTTAACATATATTTCTATAGTTATCAATATAGTCTTATTACTCCCAAGCCTAGTTATCTCCAGTCATTTGAAGGGTGTTATGAAAAATTCTTTACACATATGTTTTTATGTAATACACACATAAACATGCACACATATTTTAAGGAGGTGAGGCTCACTAATTCAGATACTTTATAAGTTGCTCAGTGATTCTCAACCTCTTTGAATTTTACTTATAATCACATACATACACATTGCTACTTATATAAATGTTCTCATATAATCATAGTAATGACTCAAACTCCTGTAGCAAGGGAAGAATTCTTTGTCAGTTAAAGCTGTTAATACATGAAAATATTCATTCAGTCTAGTTCCTTGTTATAAAATACAAAAAAATAGGACATTCAAGTATTTTCCCTTTATGAAGATACCAGTCATCTTTTCCTTAAACTAGATTTAGGGAAAGTATATTTTTTCTATTCCACTGAACTTCTTGGAAGTCATATTTAAGTACGTTGGGGTATCTACTTTGTGCCTAACTAGTCCTGTTCTAGACTTAATGGAAACTAGTAAAGAAATTAATTCATGGGTCAGGTTCATAAAGAGTTTATAATATCTTTAATTAAACAAGAGTTGGGAAACAAATGGAGAAGAATGCAAGAGAGTTTGTATTAAGTGCCAAATCATATCAAGTGCTAAAGCTAGGATGTGTCTTTAATTATTGTCACCCCAGTCCCTGTATGACGCTGCTATAAATGTGGGATTAAATACTGAGATCCTAGTAGCAATAAAATGTAACATGGGAGGAGTCTGAATGTAGAGATGAAAAACACTGAATGTAATGGCTTCTCTTTTCTCTCTTGTGGAATTGCATTCCAACCAGAATAGTGCCTTAGAATGGATGTGCCCAACTGCTCTGTATCTATGCAATATTTTAATAAAGTGGAAATATATATATGCTCTTTCTGCTTCAATCACATTAACTAATTGTTTGCACAACTTAGAGCTGCTTCCATGAGCAGTGGCAACAGGCACCACAATTGACTCCTGCCCCTAAGCTGGAATCACTTTACTCTCTGCATTTAATACAGTCAATTTTAGCCAGTAGGGTTAGTTGTAGTCATAATGTGAGCTACATCCTCCCCTTCATAGAACATCCATTATTTATTCTGAGGCACTGAATCAAGAAATACGAGAAATAGTTATTGGAAAAATAGATCATAGAACATTGTATGAGTGTCCCTAATTTTACTTCACAAAAGTAAGGGCAAAATACAGTACAAAAAATACAGTACCTACCTATTTTGTAATCAGTATGAGGGTCAAAAACAGTACCCACCTTATAAGTACTATGAAGATTAAATGAAATATATTTTGTTCAGGCCCTACACAGTGTAAGCTTTCAATGAATATCCAGCATATTGTGTTTTATTTTTTGTTTTTTAATGATAAAAGCATTTAAGGCTATGGACTTTCCTATAAATATGGCTTTGGTCACATTCCATAGTTTTTATATATAATGTTTGTATTAATCAGGATTCTCCAGAGAAACAGAAGCCAATAAATATATATAGAGAAAGAGGGGAAATGTTTGTTATAGGAATTGACTCATGTTGTTATGAAGATTGATAAGTCCCATAATCTACCATCTGCAAGCTGAAGAAAAAGGAAAGCTAATGGTATCCTTCAGTCTAGAGTCTGAAGACCTGAGAACCAGGGGATCTGATGGTGTAACTCAGCCAAAGTCCTGAGACCTGGGCAGGGGGATGTAAATCATGAAATATGAAAGCCAGAGAACCAGGAGCTCTGATATCTGAGGGCAACAAAAGATGTAGGTTCCAGCACAAGAAGTGATGGAATTCACCCTTCTCTGTCTTTTTGTTCTATTCTGGTTCTCAATGTATTGGATGATACCTACACACACACACATTAGTGAGGGCAGATCTCTGTACTCATTCTATTCAATCAAATGTTAATCTCTTTGAGAAGCACCCTCCCAGACACACCCAGAAATATTTTACCAGCTATCTGGGCTTCTCTTAGCCCACTCAAGTTGGTATATAAGATTATTCATCACAGTGTTATTATTGATAATTTAAAAATCGTTTGTTATTACTGTTTTCATTAATATTCCCTCTGACCCAAGAGCTGTACAATATTGCCATTTTCCACTTCATTTTTGGTTTTGCTATATTGTGATTAGAAAAATGCGGTTCATTCTATTTCTGCTTTTAAAGTTCATTTAGTTTTTTTAAAGACATATTTGATAAAATTTGGTAAGTATCCTAAAGACCCTAGAAAATAAGGATTTTATCTGTAAGGCAGAGGTTCAGAATACAGTATTGGACCTCTCAATTAAGTTAATGTCTTTAGGAGTGTCCTTGGTGCTTATGAAGGGACAGTGACACAGAATAGATTGCCTTGCTCCCCATTCTGAAAACCAGAATCCTGGTATTCTCCATTCCCCTCTTAAGAGTTTTATATTTTCGACCCATTTTATGAATGTCTTATAGCAATTACTAATAGCTTCCCAGCTATCAAAGCTGGCAGTTAAAGCTGGAAGCTAAAGGACCTAGGAGAGACCTAGCCTCTCAATACCAGGATGAGGAAGCTCTCCCTTGAGATTCCAGAGTAGTTTGTTCTGAAAGCAGAGAGATAAAGCAACTCTGCAGCAGTGGTCCTCCTGAATCAGCAGGGACTGCTTGACAGCGTGCTGAGGAGGTTGTCTAGGCTAAAGTCAAGGTAATCAGGGAACATACAGGTGAATCAGCCCCCAAGTGGCTCACCATCAGGTTGGGGAGCAAAGACATTACACTCTGCCCTCTTGCATCTGTAGTCATGACATTCTGAAGAGAAACATTCTGGGCACCTCCAAGAAGCTACATGATCTTTGTTCCTGATACCCTCTCTCATTTCTAGCCTAGTCATATGGGCTGAATATTCTTTTAAAGAACTAAAGCTCACACTTAAAACTTGAGCAGCCCCTGCTTCTCTAGTCCTATTTGACAGATATAGAACAGATGGAAAGGCAGCTCATCTCTTAGTCTTGCCTCAGTATTAGTAATCTGTTTACTCAGCCCCCTGTGAATGTCACATCCATTTGCAGCTAGGGTTCAAGGTCTCTGAGAAGGGGCTAATGCACAAATGAATATACTATACAAGAAATATAAATTTAGAAGGCATGGGGGAGCCAGACGGATAACTTCCCTCTAGTGGAGAAGCTCTCTGACTTCTTGGTCCCCTTTGCTTTTATTCACTTGAATACACATTTGCCCTTTAGGAAAGCAAACAGGCATATCATAGGTAAAGTTTGGTAAACAGTAAAAGGATTATCAGGTTAGGGGATTGCCTTCAGCCATTTTGCCAACAGCAGGGTAATATAAAGCTGATTTTCAGCCCTGCTGAATATCAAAGTCCATTAGCCTTCTAGCGGACATCTCGAATTTATATGTTAACTACTGTTGGTCTTTGCTTCCAGTAGCCCCCGATTCTGGAATTTTAACTTTTGGGATTGGGTGTGGTGGTAGAGCCTTTTCTCACCAGAATGATGTATAGGTTAGTCTTTAGCCTTTTCCAGCTTGCATTGTCAGAGAGGACATCTCAGACATCTAGCAAGGCCTAAGTTCACATTTTTAAGCATCCAAAGATATTAAAAAACTGTATATCTTCCTTCTAAATGAGTGAAACCCATCTCAATCCCCAACAGACATGATTTTCAAAATCAAAGTTGTATCACCAAGGGATTACCTAGAACCATGGTTGGCAAACCGCGGCTCGCGAGCCACATGCGGGCGTGCACGTACAGTGAGATTGAAACTTCGTGGCCCATGCGCAGAAGTCGGTATTTTGTGGAAGAGCCATACTCAAGGGGCCAAAGAGCCGCATGTGGCTCGCGAGCCGCGGTTTGCCAAGCCGCAGTTTGCCGACCACTGACCTAGAAACTTGATTCCTATATTAGAGAACCAGTTTACATTCAAAAGATATATAACTACTGAGTCACTGAAGAATTTCTTCAGGTTTTAATTTGAAATAAGCAATATCAGTAGTCCGTTTTGACTGCACCTTGCCTCTTACTGCTGCACTCAGAATTTTCTTTCAACAGAGCAATGACATATTCCATCCATGATCTTCCCTCCTGGACACTCCTACCACCATCTTTATCTTTCAATATGGCCTGCATTTTGAAGTGCTATATTCTGAAGGGAAAAATGTCCAGGATAAAGAATACAAAGGACTTGTATGCATGCATATTAGCATAACCAATGGACACAGACACTGGGGCAGTGGGGGCTTGCCCAGGGTGGGAATGGCTGGGGAGGTCAATTGGTGGAAAAGGAGACATATGTAAAACTTTAGACAATAAAAAAAAAGAATACTCTGTACTTCGTGCCACTCACATTTCTTAAA